ATAAATAAATATCCTAATATAAGCTGTTTTGAGCTTTCTGAGGGAAAGGTAGACCTTTGGTCTAGATAGGTAGGGTAGAAATCCAACAAAATAAAATAAAATAAGGTGGGACATTAAAATACCTCAGAGCAGGGGAGCACATATAGTCTTCCAGATGTTGTCTGACTACAGCTCCCATCAGCCATTGTAGCCAAAGGTAAGGGAGGACGGGCGTTCCAGTCCAACATCTGGAGGGCCATGCATGACCTAGACTCACACACCATTGTATGTAATAGTAGATATGACTCTATAATCCCTTGGTGGTGTTTTAAATAATATTACACTTGGCTTTCCACAGAGTTCTGGAGTTTGATTCCCTACTGTGAATCCCAGGAGATGAGCCAGCTTGTGTAGCCTGGGGCAATCTTCACAGCACCCACTCCAGTAAGGGAACAGTAAGCGACTTCTAAGTACTCTGTACTAGAAAACCCTGGAAAGTGTTGCCATTAAGTCAGAACTGATTTGACAGCACACATTATTATTATTTATTTTAGTTTTAGAACTGCCTCCAGTCTCCAATCAACAGTTTAATTATATCCACAGACATCAGGATTATGGGGTTTTCCTGGCATCTAACATCCTTACTGATCCTAAATAACATTCATGGTCTCAGAGAACCATAAATCTCCAAAGGTAACCAAATCCAACCCCTGCTGAAATCCTGACTGATCTCCTAACTTGCTTAAAAACTTTCAGTAAAGGAGAGTTCATTACATCCAAAGATTGTCCATTCCAGAGTTGAACAACTCTTATTGTCAAGGTTCTTTTAATATTTAGTTGAAATCTCCTTTCTTGGAATTTGAACCCATCAGCCCTGGATCTTTTCAGAGCTGCATAAGAGAAGATGCTTTCACATGCCACTGCTCTTCAAGTATTTGAGATTGTTACCATATCACCATCTTCCATAACTTTTCAGGTATTTGATGACGGCCATCACATCATCACTCAATTTGGTCTTTTCCAGGCAAAACATATCCAGATCTTTCAACCTTTTCCTGTAGGTCTTGATTTCCAGATCCTTTACCATGTTGGGGTCCACTATATTCTTGGACTAAAATTCCCCCCAGTCTTCATCACTAGCTCTGCTGACCAAGATTTCTGGCCAAGAACATTTAGGGACCCAAGGTTGGGAAGCACTGCTTCATTAACTGGGTCACCTTCCTCTGGACATGTCTCAGCTTGTACATATCCTTCTAACAGTGACTCATATTGATTCATTTGTACTCTTTCACCTACCAAAGCCCCTATATTCTTTTCACTTGCACTGCTGCCCTGCCAGCGTGGTGCGGTTGTGGACAGAAGGATGGATTAGGACTCAGGAGAGCTGGGTTCGATGGATTAGGACTCAGGAGAGCTAGGTTCAAATGTCCACTACGTCATGGAGACTCACTGGTGGATGACACTAATAAAACCAATCCTTAAATCCCTCAAATACCTTTGGAAACCAAACTTGAGTTGTCATGTTTTGGAAGCAACTTGACAGCATAACAAAAACACTCTCCTGCTAGGTGTCATCCATTCTTTATTTCTGAATCTGTTTTTTTCCTGTCTAAATATATGTCACATTTTATCCTGTTGAAGCTTTTTTTTTTACCCAGTTCTCTAACTGTTGCAGTTGTAGCCATTCTAATACCAGGTTCTGCATAAAATTGTAATCCTTTTTGTTTAAAAGTACAATGAATGACTCATAGCACAGGTCTATGCATGTTCATTGAGAAATTCAGCAGGACTTACTTGAATTGGATTACTATAGGCTGTGATCCTATGGATGCTTTCATGGGAGTCAGTGCAACTGAAATAAGCATGTGTAGGATTACTATAGGATACCCACTGTGGTATAATGGATAAAACGATCGCCTAAAACTCAGGCGGCCTGGGTTCAAATCCTCCCTTCAACCATGGAAGCTCACTGGGTGTATGGAGCTGGTAAAACCTCTCATTAAATCCCATTAGGATTGCTGTTAAGTCAGTTCCAACTTGACAGCACATGACAAGTATTGCTATGTTAGAAAATACTTACGCTTCCATGTAGTCACATGTGGCACTGTCATTCAGCTCAGCAAAAGGTTTGTTAAACATCTTTGCATCTGGGAGTGACTTCCAGTCAACAGCAGGCCAAGAATGCAAATCCCGAGTAAGAAAATATCTCCATAGCAAGGGATCTTGGACTGTTAGCCTCAAATAGCGACTTGTGCTTCCCAGATGACTCAAGTCTCTCGGCTCCAGAAAAGACATAATATACAACAGCACATCTATCTGGAAAAAAAAGTTTAAAAAGGGAAAAACCCTTTAAGAAATGTAAGACTGAAAGAAGAGTCTCCTCAAAATTTTCCCACTGTGTACCTAAGTACACCCCTTTGCTGAAAGAAAAAATGCTGTGAAATATATCCCAAAGTTATTAGAGCAGGTTCTTCGTTTTCCAAAACAAAAATGATGCAAAGAAATATGCACAAATAAGCAAACCTAAAATGACAACACAAAACCTTCATCACAACACAAAACCAAATATGGTGGTTTATTCTTAGAATGGGGAAAGGAATGTGTGTTCTTCTGAATGTTGTTGGCCTTCTGAGCTGTAGCCAGCACAGCCAGTGGGGAAGGATGATAGAAACTGTAAATCAGCATCTGGAGGGCTATATGTTCCTCATTCCTGTTCTAGAAGCAGCTGTATCTCAATGGGAGGCAGAAGGTCCTGGGTTAAGTCCCCACTTCCTCCAGACAGTTTAGGAGCTAGACTGATTGACAGAAATATTTATCAGTACTGTATAGTCAGGTGGGTCCATAAATGATGGAGTCACATTGATCCGTCACCACAGGATGACATATGGATAGTTTGTGGTATGCAGAGCACAGATGTTAGCTGCGCACTAACTTTTTAAAACACGAGTAATCTCTTTCCTGAGTATCTCTAGTGAGAGAAATCTCAAACTTTCCTTAAGGATTGAGAAATACAGCAATCCTGTTAACAGTGAAAACTGTTACAAAATTTTGAGGAAACGGAAGGATGCTGATGCCTGGTGCATTCTTTAAAAAGACCCCTTTCCAAGCCCTCATCTCGTTTTTCTACGATGAAGAATCGCTCTGTCTCCACGGATGAAGATGGGATGCACGTGTTCAGATAAGGGGACATACATTTACTGAGGGACGTGGGGATTTCGTCAGCCAGAGCTTAATATGACACTTCAAGGCAAAGCAGCGAAGAGAAACAAAAGGGGGGGGGGAGAGAAGGCTCCATTGAACGCGTTAACAACGCCCAATCTCCTAAGTAACGAGAGCAGCAACGGAACGATACGAAGGACCCGCCCACATTCTGGCGGCCAATCAGCCGCAACAAGAAGGGACGACGAGGGTGTCAACGCGGGTTCTTCCAAC